CTAAAATAACACAATGTATTAATTCAGGTTTAATTAGAAAGTTTATATACTATTTCGGGTATCAAAGTTGAAATTGATGCTATTCCAGGTATTTACTATAAGAGAAATGAATGAAACGGAGAAAGATGGATTTGGAATTTTGGACTGCCTTTGATGATTATATTATACTCGAGTACCTAACCTACCTGTATTCTAATTATGATTAGTATATGTGTGATGTGTGTATGTGTGCATGTGTGATGTGTGATGTGTGATGTGTGGTTTAGGTGGTGATTGTCTATCTGGTCTGGTCTGTTTATTATGTGTGGGTGGATATTACTCGAGTATTGATGGATGTTATATTTGTAGAAGGTTGATGGGTAGTGGGTTGATGGGTAGTAGGTGTGGTGAGTGGGTAGTTATGTAGGAGGTAGTAGGTAGGAAGTAGTGGGTGATTTTCTCTAGATTATGGATTGTGGGTTGTGATGTAGGTGGGTATAGGTATAGATATGGATTTGGATTTGGATTTGGATTTGGTTCTGGTTCTGGTTCTGGTTCTGGTGTATGGTATGGCTGGGTTGGGTTGGGAAGTGTTGGAATGAATTGGCATATTTTTATAGAGATGATTTTATATGTTGTAATACAGATGAGATAGATGATGGTGTGATTAATGAGGACGATGAATATGATGATAATAACTATAGGGATTATGACGATGAATGTTGATAAAAATGGAGATGTGAATTTGGATATGGTTTATATTTGGATTTCGCGTTTAGCTTATAGATTGGTGTTGGTAAGTGTTGGTTGGTATCAACGGGAACACCTTTCAGGTCTACAATGATAAAAAGCCCCATGGGTGTTCAGTATTGATATCCTTATAAAACTTGTTGATTACTATTCTATATAATAGGGATTATATATATATTGAGGTTTTTTTGCTAAGGTTTACCCTAACCCTTTGTTAATATAGCGCCAGTGCTCCGGTACAGTAGATGATTATATCGATAATTGGATTTTAATCAAGCAACTCTGTTGTACTCATGTCGTGTCGCTCTTTTCGGAGCGGAATATAGATTTTGGGACCGGGAAGATTAGAAGTCTGGATCGGGAAATATACTCATTACAATATTGCCGAGCACGAGGTCTAGCTTGGTGAAAAAAAAATGACTCCTCTCTTCTTTACACCATTCTCATATTCGACCTTTCCCTCCTATCCCCCGATAACCTCCCTTCTCTTCCTATCTTCCTATCTCCCAAGCCATCCCTCGCACCCCATACTCCCCACCAACCCTCCAAACACTGGCCAAGGAAACACCGTAAAAACCACCACATCAGTTGGAACCGTCACTCCTTCAATAATCAACATACTCCACGCGACGCCGAAAGCAGTAGGAACGATGAAAACATGTAGTTTCTCATTGTTGCTGTGTTTGTATAGTCGGGTTAGGAGGGTAAAGCTGAGGAAGGAAATCAGTGTGTTGAGGAGGTTGGATAGGTGGGAGTTGGTGAAGATGGAAGTGGAGGTGGTGAGGATATTGGGTAGGGGTGGAGTTGGAGTTGGTAGGGGTATGGGGAAGATGTACGGGGATGAGGGGAGCTAGGGGGGTTTTAGTTGGGTTTCTTTTCTTTTGGCGGTTTGGATGGAGGTGGAGATGGGGGGGGGGCAGATAAAGTTGTGAGCGGAAGTCATACGTACTAGTATGTGTGGATAAAAACGAGCTATTTTGCGGTAACTTGAGATGATGAGTGAGATTGCGGTTACGAGGAACTCGAGATGTGGTGCGGATTGCATGGTTTTGGTTTGATATGGTGACTTGCTAATGGAATATTTTGAGTCGGTTAAGAGGTAGATGATGGTAGAGAGGTGGAGGGCGAGGTTGTGAGTTGACGTTTTAGTACTGTATGGTTCATTACTAGAGAGATAGTCATCTGTGAAATTTCATGCTCAGTATTACTTCTGTGAGGTTATATATACTCGAGTATGGGAAAGTTGACTTGATGAAGAGGTGTGAAATATCATTATGGCTAGTACTGCATGAAGGAAAAGTGTCCTGGAACAATATTTTGAAAAAAGTAACATTCACAACCTGCATATAAGGGCGTTAATTCCCTATTTATGGGCATAAACATGAGTCTCCAATGATTGAGTAGCTAGAGCAAACCTGAAGTCGGTGAGAGATTAGCTGTCTCTTGCTTTATACTCTATGTTGGAACTTTTTATAGCCTGTATAAACCCATCAGGCCTTGTGTGTAACCAGTCTCATCTCACCTTTTGACTAGTATAGTCAAGAAGATTATACTACTATAGCCTGTATACGGTATAAATTACAAATTGCCAGCCTTTTACTTTGGAACTTCTTTCAACCCCAAATGGAGATTCAGCTGAGGTGCAGAGCAGTAAACACACATCTCACTGGGATATTTCCCATTTGATAGTTTGATCCGTTTGTATCTTTCCCAGGCTTCTGCAAACGTAACAAGTGGTGAGACTACATGGACTTCCAAATGCGGAAGGTACAGACAAACAATACTCAACAATACAGCAATAGTCAAATTCAAGGGTCTATGAAGATTCAAGAGATTCAAGAATTCTTATAAAAATCGTATGAGGAATTTCATGTTAGTAAGGAAGAATGTAATAATTCTCATGTAAGATTTACTATAAAAATGTTTGAATTGGGTTAGGGGGGGGCTTACCTCGGTTAAAATCATTGGCCGGGGAACATCCAGGGGCTGGTACTTTTACAGTATGAGGCATTTTCGTTGCACCAATGAGTTTTATAACAACCACAGTAAAATTCTCATCAACAACTTGATATTTAAATCAAAGAAGCCAAGTGGCTGAGTCGATGAGTCGAAGAGTACTTGAAATGTAATATCCATCATGTAACGATGCAAACAGCGGCACGTTTGAGGATTCCAATCAGAACGCGAACCAGTTCTTCGGTCTCCATATACTCAGCCGCTTCGTTACTATCAAGCATCCATTCATTGTTTTGACCAGGGGATTATTATGAGCGATTTATTATAACAGAACCATAAAGCTCAAATCTGTCAAAAGGCGGGATGATAATGTGACAAGAGATAGTTCCTATTCTGGATCAATTCACCAAGGTCTGATCATGAGGAACCTACTGGCTCAGCTGTCAGAATTCTTTGTCTTTTGCATCTGCATATATTGAGCCCCAACCGATACACAAGAATCTGAATTTATCCATCTTTCACGTTCGAGCTTAGGAGAAAATATTCTACTGTGTGCGCTCACCAGGGATTTAAAAGAATTTTGAGCTCCTCTTCGCCGACTACCCACGTGCAAAGAGACAGTCGGCACAGAAACTCCGCAACTAACTGGGAGTCATCTTGCGAAGATGATAGACGATGAAGAAAAAGAACAATATCCTCGCCGAATCCACTATGCCGATGTGGAATCTGGAGTGAAAGTATCATCACCCTTGGAGCGAGGTAACTCAAGAAGAAGCTCAGTCGATCATGATAGTCTGAGTATTCGACCTCATAGACGATCATCGATTGAATTGTCAATGGCACTTCCTATCCAGTACAGAACAGTATCATTTCAGATTGCAGGATCACAAGAAAAGAATGCGGCAGAAGTTCAGCTTGCGAAGAAATCAGCAGCCAAAGGTTTACATTCCTATATCTCAATTCATACCACGATACTAACTCTATTTTAGCGCTTGCTGATTTGGAATGGCATACCATCACACCTGACGAGGTTCTAAAGCGATTATCAACTTCGACATCTCAAGGCCTCTCTAAAGAGCAAGCAAACCGGAGACTATCACAATATGGAAAGAATGCGCCATCTCATCCTCCCAGCCATTTGTTTCGGACTCTATTCGGATACTTCTTCCGAGGATTTGGATCTATTCTTCTTGTTGGCGCTATTCTCGTTTTTGTTTCCTGGAAACCTCTCGGAAACCCGCCTGCACAAGCAAACTTAGCACTTGCTATTGTCCTCTTGGCAGTATTCTTCATACAAGCAGCTTTCAATGGCTGGCAAGATTGGTCTTCATCTAGAGTCATGGCTTCAATTACGACTATGTTGCCTGGCAACTGTTTGTTGTTGAGAGATGGAGCTCGTGTGACTGTGGTTGCTAGCGAAATTGTTCCTGGAGACGTTCTTTACATCAAAGCGGGTGATAAGCTTCCTGCTGATGTACGATTCGTCGAAATATCTTCGGATGCAAAGTTTGATCGTTCTATTTTGACCGGTAATGCCCCTAAGTCTTTACACATTTTCTGATACTAATCAATGGCTTAGGCGAGTCACCTCCACTTTCTGGTATGGTTGATAATACAGATGAAAATTATTTAGAGACAAAATGTATCGGACTGCAAGGGACTCATTGTATTTCTGGAAGCGGTATCGGTATTGTTGTTGCTACTGGTGATACAACAGTCTTTGGAAGGATTGCCCAACTAACCAACACCCCCAAAACTGGCATGACTACTCTCGAACGAGAGGTTTTCAACTTCGTCTTAGTAATTGTTTCCATCATGGTAACCATGATAGTTCTTGTTATCATTATATGGTACGTGTATCGCCAAGCTCGCTCTCAATCATTCCGTAAATCAGATGCTGATTTAAATTACAGGGCAGCATATTTGAGGAAGTCACACCCCGATTGGATAAATGTACCAACTCTAATCGTGGACTGCGTTTCTGTTGCCATTGCATTCATTCCCGAGGGTCTTCCTATTGCTTTGACGGCATCACTCACTATCACTGCGAATCTTATGCGCAAGAATAAGATTCTTTGTAAATCGTTGAAGACAGTGGAGACCCTAGGTGCAGTCAGTGTCATTTGTTCAGACAAGACAGGGACTCTGACGAAGGTATGTCTTTCTTATAGACTGAGGTTTCACAGAGACTAATGGATTCAGAACAAAATGTTCGTTACAGAATGTGGTATGGGAACCAACAGTATGACGCCACAATCAGCTAGAGATGAGATGGTCTCAAGTGGTCGAAATGACACTGCGATCTCCCAAATGAGACTGATTGCTGGACTTTGCAATTTTGGAGAGTTTGATGCCGGTACAATACATCTTCCACTTTCCGAGAGAATAATCAACGGTGATGCTACCGATCAAGCTGTGTTGCGATTTTCCGAGTCACTTGGGCCCGTTTCCGAACTTCGAAACATGTGGCGAAAAACCTTCGAATTGGCTTTTAATAGCAAGAACAAATACATGATACAAACTCTAGCACTCACCGAGGCTGCAGGTCTAGCTTATGCTCTACCTGACGAAGAAGCGGCAGTGTTTGGCTCAGATGACACGTAAGATACCATTACCCAGTGTGAGAGATCACGTCTAATCTTTCCAACCACAGCCTCTTAACCATTAAAGGTGCTCCAGATATTTTGATTGAGAGATGCTCAAGATATACAACTATTAATGGCGACTCTAAGGCTCTTGACGACGATGTACGTACGAAAATCGATGAAATAAAAAATGGTTGGTCGGCAGAAGGCAGACGTGTCATATTATTGGCGCGAAAGACAATCAAGAAAGACGAACTACAATCAACTCCAGATTCAAGCCGCTTTGAAAACGAGATATCATCACACGCAAGATCTAGTCTTACATTGGTAGCTCTACTTGGTATTGTTGATCCTCTTCGCGATGAGATACCTTCAGTTGTTTCGATCTTGAGACGAGCTGGAATTCGAATGTTTATGGTAGGAGTCCTATAGACTATTCATTTCATGATGCATACTAACACATTCAAAGGTAACTGGAGATTTTGCATTAACCGCTCAAGCAATTGCCACCGAATGTGGAATCATCACCAATCCACCGAACATGGTGAAAGATATCTCTTCTCTCTCGCGGGATAAGATCATTTCTGAATCAGATTCTCAATCTGAAAATGAAAACAAAGATGCAAGCATCACGCCTCCAATGAAGTCCATTGTTCTCAGCGGTCCAGAAATGATTACGCTCAACGACAACCAATGGGAGCAACTATGCAGATACGATGAGATCGTCTTCGCACGCACCACTCCCGAACAAAAACTACGAATTGTGCGGGAGTTTCAAAAGCGCGATGAAATTGTTGCGATGACTGGTGATGGTGTCAATGATGCACCTTCTCTCAAAGCTGCCGATATTGGGATTGCGCTTGGAAGTGGTTCGGATATAGCTATTGAGGCTGCCGATATGGTTCTCCTCGAATCATTCAGTGCTGTTGTCGAGGCAGTTCAATACGGAAGAGTAGTCTTTGATAACTTGAAGAAAACCATCGCGTATCTGCTACCTGCTGGATCATTTTCTGAGTTCTGGCCTGTTATGACGAATGTCGCGTTTGGTTTACCGCAGATATTATCCTCGTTTCTTATGATCATTATTTGGTATGTATTCTACCAAGTTCTGTTATTTCGGGTTGAACTTGAGTCACAACTAACACCCAATCCAGCTGTTTCACCGATTGCGCCGCCGCCACAGTCTTAGCATACGAAGCCCCAGAAGCCGACGTACTTCTCCGCAAACCGCGAAATACCAAGACAGATCGACTAGTGGACTGGCAATTAATCCTTCAAGCCTATGGCTTCATTGGTGTCATTGAGACACTATCATCGTTTGCAATGTCATATTGGTATTTAGAACGTAGCGGAATCCCATTTAAGGATCTTTGGTTCAAATATGGAAGTCTTCCGGCGAATATCGATCAAGATTATGCCAATGCACGACTTGCTGAAGCTTCGAGTATTTATTTTGTTAATCTTGTGGTTATGTAAGTTTTCCCCTTTCCCCTTTATCTAAAAATCTATCCTAATACCCCCCCAGGCAATGGTTTAGTCTCATGGGCCTCCGCACCCGCCGTCTCAGTATCTTCCACCATCCACCCGCCTTCAACAAAGCCACGCAAAACCTGTACATTTTCCCAGCCATTCTTTTCGCATTAGTAATGGCAATTTTCTGGCTTTATATTCCCCAGTTACAGAGTGTGTTGGGTACAAGTAGTGTACCTGCTGAACACTTTTTCCTACCAGCGGCTTTTGGATTGGGTATACTGTTTTTGGATGAGGCGAGGAAGCGGGGGGTGAGGAAATGGCCAGGCAGTTGGTTGGGGAAGATGGCTTGGTAGTGGAGGCAGGGGGGTCGAGGACGAGTCGTTTGATCAAAGTTGGGGTTGTGGGCATGTAGATAATGTACACTTTTACCATAAAGCAAACAATAGAAAGAAGAATGGATTTTTTGCACTGGAAGGGTCGATCGTTGAGTAATAATGATCAACACTCGTGATTCTCTCTTCTTGTCTCGACCCTTTACCTTCCCTCGTCACACTTGATTTCATACCGCATGTGTGATTCTTTTATCCTAATCAGTCGCCTAACCACAAACTATATACGGTGTCATTCAGAAGTCAAACACAATGAGCGATCGCTCTTCTCGCTGCATCTATTGGGAGAATCAAGAACAAATAGAGAGCCATGCTATAATAATTGACAAAATGAAAGAATACTTTCTTTCTAATGCAGAGATTGATCGTCATTAAGTAATGATGAAAGTCTACTAGGCTCGTGTTCCAATAGTTATATAAATCCCATCCTAAAACCAAAGTATCAAACAACTCGAGACGAAAATGAAGGTTTACATAAAATTGTGCGACAATCTCCTTCTCTTTCCTGACCATAGATCCCAGTGGACCAAAATTCCCTCTCCTATCAAAACCTCGCTTATGAAAACAAGCCGGATGTGATAAAAAGAATAAGCCGGCCTGTGCCTATACAATACCCAGCGTGACTACAGAGTTACCAACAGTACCACACTCTATCGCATAAGCGACAACAGTCTCACGGTACTAGTACTGCTCGCCAGATTAATCAAAGCCCCGGTACAAGCTCGAGCACATGTGAGCTATTCGTCTTCTTCTATGATTCTAATACCGGCAGACAGTTTTATAATTAGTAATTTCAATATTTTGTATACATCTTACTTCAGTAATACATATTATATATTTTGAAGATATTGAAATACTGTATATGACATTAGATTCTATATTATTAAAAATATAAAATATTGAAATAATATTATATATCACTAATAGAATATTGAAATAAAGAATATAATTGATTTAGATTATACTATTACTAGGCTATATTATATAATATTGTATATTCTGGAGTTGAAAATGATAATATCTGAGGAATATAGGAATGAGGACTCAGAATATAGGAATATATTAGATATATAAGAAACGATAAATACCTGGAATAGTATCATTTTGAACTTTGATACCCGAAATAGCCTAAGTGCTAATCGAGGTATAATATATACTATTTCAGATTAAATCTTTTGTGTTATTCTAGTTACAAAATAAAATATATTAATCTAATCTTAGAAACAGAAATAATACTATTCTGATTACAAATTTATATATTAATCTAATCACAAAATTTATATATTAATCTAATTATTAAGAAAAAAAGGTATTATTCTGGGCACAAAATTTATGTATTAATTTGATTATAATAAAATAATATTATTTATACAAAAGGATATAGGGAAGAAGAAAAGGGAAAAGCTATACGAAAGAATATAGGGCTATTATTTACACCAAAATAACGAATCAACTTTGAGACCAGAATAGCACTCTTTTCTTTTTCTGCAACCAGATTAACACATAAATTTGTGACCAGAATAGTATCATTTTATTTTTTGAGATCAGATTAACACATTATTTAAAAACGACTGAAATAACACTTTTTGAAAAAAAAATGACTGAAATAACACAATGTGTTAATTCAGGCCTAATTAGAAAGTTTATATGCTATTTCGGATATCAAAGTTGAAAATGGTACTATTTCAGGTATTTACCGTATAAGAAATATAGATATTTTAAATTCTATTGGGTTTAGTTTTATCTTCTGTATTTAGATATATTATCAATATTACTATTTTGGGGCAATATGTATAACCATGAGTAATACTGAAATTTGTATATATTACTGTGAATGGTATAGTCTTGATATTAGTTACCGTTTTACGTATACTAATTACAACAACTGCTTCATCCATTTTCCAAGTCTTGCCAGCATTCTGCTAATCAACAACCCCAAAATCAGCATCCAGAGAAAAATGACAAAGAAGTAGATATCAACTGGAACGGCGAGCTCTGCCCAGAAATATATCGATGCGCCGAAGGCAAGAACGATCATTGGGGCGTGTAGTTTCTCACGATATCCAATATTGTAGATCCGGGCTAGCAAAATAGCGGATATGCCATTGGAAATGAATATCGCCAGCTCTGATGCTCGGCGGGGATTGTCGGACAATGGTGCGAGTATTGTGCGAATTAATGGATTATTGGCAGTGAGGTCTGAGAGGATCCATGTGTCGAGCAACTAAAGGTAATGTCAGTCTTCCTCTTCATGATTTATTAATGAGTGCACCTGGTACTTACTTCGTGGTGTTGGCTTAAGTTACAGCGTGTGCTGATGACCAGCGACCCTGTCGCGAACAAGAAATCGGAAAGCTTCATTGACGCCAAATATAGGTTCGAAGTTCGTGCTGAGCAAGTGTACTGAGTTTCGGTTGTAGGTTTTGTTCATGTGGGAATGGAGCGATAATAGATAGAAAAGTTTCTCAAAGAGCGTTTAAGTCAAAGTTGATGTTAGAAGAGATTAAATGGAGGTGCTCCTCTTACAGCCATCACAGTCATTAACTTTAGAATGGTTGTATTCGTTTTTCGTATACTCGAATGATTCATTTGATACGAAGATTTATATAATATTCAATAGGGGCCTAAATCCTTTACTCACATTCGATTCCTTCTGGGTAAATTTTAGTCAATTCCTTCATTTCGATTATGTCCATTCAAGTTTACCCACTTTGACTCACAGGGTATCTAATAATACAGACTGCAATCCAACAATAAGATATTCTTAATTCCTATTAAGAATAGTATCCCTAGTGTATGATCACCTGGTATTCTATTACTATATTGAAAAGCTAGGGCTGGGGAAATATAGAATTGATTCGATTAAAGAGATAGAAATTGATAGATTATAGAATAGTTTATACGGTAAATACCTGGAATAGCATCATTTTGAACTTTAATACCCGAAATAGCCTAAGTGCTAATCGAGGTATAATATATATTTTTTCAGGTTAAGTCTTTTGTATTATTCTGGTTACAAAACAAAATATATTAATCTGGTTTTAGAAACAAAAATGATACTATTCTGGTTACAACAAAATGGTATTATTCATACGAAAGGATATAAAAAGGGGAAAAGAAAAGGGGCTATACGAAAGGATATAGGGCTTGTCACGGGTTCAACTACCCGTTCCTAGCTAGCTCGGATGGATGCCTTAGGCATCCATCCACCATATAGTCGTTATCACTCCGCGCGCCTCCTTCTCTTCTCATTGAATATCATATATCTTACTTAGTACCCGTATCAGCCCTGTGATAGTATATTTGACCTTTTAAAAAGCTTTATTGTTGATAATAATCCAGCTTTGATTATATTTACTTACACAAGATAACTTTAATTTGATAATTTTGATTTTGATTTCAATTTATATTATTACAATAGCCAACTCTACAAATTTATCGGCTATACCCAATAATACCAACCCTGGTATACCTATTACCAATATTAATAAACCCATTCCTGAAATTATGATATATAAAAACTTGATCATATATATTCGTTAAATATTCTAAGATTAATTTTATATCATTAATATACTCACTTCCGATACCCTTTTCCAAGACCCAATTTTGTTAATCAATATATTTAATACAAAAAAACATCAACTCTGCTATTTAACTTTTTCTTCGAAATCTACTTACTACACTTGAAGTTATCGCCAAAGAATACTATATTGAATATATAACCCGATTAACCACTAAAAAACAATTCAATATTGAATACACAGCCTAATTAATTATTAAAAAACAATTTAACCAGATTCATAATGATCTCCTCATCTAGCAATATCAACTTCAAGAAATACACAACTCTATTATCAAAATCTTTAATCAAAATCTTCCTCCAAATCCTTTTTATATTCAATCAATAGTAAAAAAAACCTATTTGTATAATAGGAGGAATACCTCTCTTGAAAACTTGGCCTCCGACTTTGCTAGGAATAT